GGTTCATAAATTTCAGATTTTTTTGCTGCAGGGCAGGGCTTACACAATCATGTTTAAGGTGATGTTAATTCCGTTTTGGCGAGCACGAGCACACCACAACTTCTTTGAATAACGTTTGGTACATAATTATTAACTGGTTGTTGCAGGTTGGGGCGGGCACGTTAGCGGTGTCAATTCCATTTTGGAGAGCGAGCATAGCGAGCAAGCAAAAAAAAAAATTCTCTTTTAATAGAAATTAATAAATAAACTTGTTTTTATTGGTGCAGGTCAGGATGGACGCAATCGCGTTCAACGCGATTCAATTCCTTTTTGGCGAGAGGGCGAAAAAACTCTTCCATTTTTGATTATATTGTTGCAGGTCAAGGGTGGGCACAATTGTTTCCAAAGCAATGTCTATTCATTTTATTCGCGAGCGAGTGTAGCGAGCGAGAAAAATGAATTAGTCTCTTTTTAGTAACATTTGGTACATACATTGTGTGTTATTGTTGCCATGGTTGCAGGTCGGGGCCCGTCGGGGCAGGCACAATTGTATTCCAGGCAATGCTAATCCTTTTCTTTTTTCAGGGGGACGAGCAAGTGAAAACATTTAATACAAAATAGGCTAGCAAGCAGTTCGCGCCAGCGAAGAGTTTCGAATTTGTTATATCACTTATTTTCCTATTTTCATTTGTCTTAATTTTTCAGGGCCGTATGCGGAATATTTTTCTGGTGGGGGAGGGGGAAAGATGCGTTAAAAGTTTTCGAAGAATCTCAAAAGCAAAAGGAGTGAAGGGAGTTCGAGCGACCGAACTAGTCATGAGGGTACTTTTGCATTTTCAAAAGTAGAATTGAAGGATTTGGTATAGGCCTACACTACATTTTCAGGAAAAAAAACTGTACGTTTTCAAAATATCTGGGGTCAACTGCCTCCCCACCCCCCCCCCCCCTGGTGCGTACGGCCATGGTCTTTTTTTTTTAATTTCCCAATTTTCCTTTCCTTTTCTTTTCCCTTTTTCTTCCTTTTTTCTTCTTCTTCCTTTTTTCTTTCCTTTTCCTTTTTTCCTTTTTTCTCTTTCTTTCCTTTTTTCTTCCCTTTTCTTTTTTTCTTTTTCTTTCCTTTCCTTTCTTTTCTTTTCTTTCCCCTTTTTCTTTTTTCCCCCTGGAGCCCGTCAGGGGGGGGCACTCTGCCCCCCCTGCCCCCCCCGTAGGTACGCCAGTGTCTAGCAAGTAAACGGGTTTCCTTGCATAATTTGAATATGAGGACACTGCTAACGTTTAAATTTCACAGATAGGACATACATGACATATTCATAATTCCTGCAAAGTTCTACAGCATTTGAGGTTGGCTGCAAAAGGGACAGAGTACCTTTAAAGGCCCACTGCACTACTTATAGCTACTTGCGCCCTCTATATAACAAACAATGACTAATCGGTGACCATTGGTCCCCCATGATCCTCTTTTTCTTATGTTAACTGAGAGCTGAGTTGATGAGATAACCACCTGTCCAGTGACCTTGCAGGGCAGTCTAATCCCTCCTATAAACTACGGCAGATAAGCTTTAAAGGAAAATCTAACCTTACAAAAAAAGTTACTCTATTAATATAATAACAGAAAGTAGAAAATTCAGAGAAGCAGACTATCTTGTAAAAGTTTGAGTGACATCGGACATACAATAAGAAAGTTATACATTTTTGAAAGTTGTAATCACTATAATAATGGAAGGAAATTTTCATATTGGCTGAATATCATTGTGACGTTGTGCCTGACAACTTTGAAAATAAAGACTACTGATAACGGTTCAGATAATAATACATACGATGAAAAATAATTTTTTCTTAAGCAGTGGTTTGCGAGTGGAGGTTCTGCCCCAGTTCTGCCATTATACAAGATGACGATATTTTTGGATATTCAGACTTCGAACCATATGGCTGGTTCGCGTATACCGCTCTTCCTCTGTGTACATTAGGTCAACCAGGAGTAGCGGTGTCAAGCAACCTTTTCCCCATGCTAGTTTGAGAATTCAGACTCTTTCAGAATATTTTTGTATATTCATTTATCGGATAGAACAGTGGAAATGTGAGCGAAATATGACATATTTTAGACAAATGTAGTCTGTGAATTATAATCATCTTTGAAATTGCGTTAATTTGATGGTTTTGATAATGATGCTAATATTATACTGGGTTTATAACGCGCCTTATACATTATACAGTCAAACATGACGCCCAAGGGTTAGTGGTCACTGTAGATACACTAATATACAGGTTCTTCAACCCATACTTTCTTCTAGAGGGAGCCAATGTAGATGATCACTATAGACAGGTGGCCTTCATAGAGAGGGAGCAATTTCATTTCCCTAAGTTACCTGTCATGTCCCATAGAAATCATTTTTTTTTGTGGTCATCTTCTCACATTTCAATAGCGGGTAATTGATTTTGAGTTCATTCGGTTGCGATCGAGTCAAGCGACCTTTTCCAGAAGCTAGTTTGGAAATTCAGACTCTTTCAGAATCTTTGTATAATAATTTATTATATTGTCGAATCGAAAAGGGGAAATGGAAGCGGGAAGAAAAAAAAAATGAAATTTTGGCAAACGAAGTTGGCGAACGATAATGCTCTTTTTGCTCTTCAAAATCTGTATCTCATTTGTTGCTTTTGAATTAATGACAATAATGTTCGATGAAGGGTATTGGGTGTGGTTATCACTTTCCAAGTGCGAATAACATGATAATGCCATGCACTGGTATTGTGTGACTATAGCGTTTATACAAGGTAAATACTCGATCGGGTGAATGCCATGGAACCTTTCTGTCGGCGGAAATACCCAGACTATGAAGTAGAAGCTAGTTTGCAAATGCAGACATTTTGCGTATATTTAAGGCAAGCGGAATCGCAATAATGTCACGCAACCTTTCTGCGGCTGCAATCAGATTTTGAATCGCGTGCTAGTTTGCAAATTCAGACTCTGTAATTTTAATTTAGACATACAAGGTATTCATGCTATCTCCTCCTCTCTCTCTCTCTCTCTCTCTCTATCTCTCTCTCTCTTGCCGCTGAGTTACTAAATAAGTCTTGAGGTAGTCATAATTTTACGTTTTATGGTCTTGAATATTATTAAGGTCTTCACATTTTAATTGTAAGTTACAATCATACAGGTGCTTACCTAACCAGCTTTGACCAGGGGGCGTTTCACAAAACTTGTCATCAGTGACGAATGACAGTGTTTGTTATAAGCTACTGCAATCCTTGCTTCTGATTGGTTATCAACAGATTTGTCACTGATTTTTGTCATTGGTCATTGAAAAAAAAAAAGAAGCTTTATATGAAACGGGTCCCAGACGTCTAGTATCACGCGGGATCGTCCCGTATTTCAATCATATTTGTCCCGGGGCGCCATTATGTATTGTGATCCCAGAGGTCTTATCTCAGTCATGTAGAAATACTGTAAGCATGCGTGACCACAGGTTTTACAGACACCCCCTAAACGAGGATTTCTTCTGAAGCCAATGGGTATTTATATAATATTGGATGGCTTTGAATGTGATACAAGAATATATTGTCATAGCGACAACATTCTTGTATCACACGAAAAGAAAGCCATACAATATTATTATTATTATCTATATCAGGCTGACTAGCAAAATAAGAAATTTCGATTATCAAGCAATATTGTACCGATAGTTGAAGTTCCCGGATGACAGAGCGATATGAAAACAACATTGATCTGCCATCCGGGTACTGCGCTAAAGATATTAATGCACCGATTTAATGTAGGCCTAACCACTTGGAAGCCTTACATAGATAATAATGATGTATTGCGCTAAAGATATTTAATACACTGATTTATTGTACCACTTGAAAGCCTTATATATATATATATATATATATATATAATAATGATGTATGATAATACACAAGCTGAGAAGTCTGCCAGTTTAGCGTGCTTGTTTTGCTCGTTCACTACGTTTTAGAAACTTGAGAGATTATATTTGGGTATATTTAAGACGACAAAGATTTCAGTGCTATTAAATTTGCACTGATAACATCTTTCCATTGACGTAAAGAAAATGATTTAAATCAAGAACAAAAAATATTGCGACTGTCGGTAGGACTATGTAGTAACAAAGTAGATACCTTTAAATACATGCCCTTTAAAGCCTTACTTCTCTGCCAATACCCTTGACAAAAGGGTGTGTTGGGATTACATCGGTATAAATTATGACGGTATTGAAAAGGGCGGTACTCATGAATAAATTACAATAGATTTTTTTAACAAAGAACCATCTTAGAATTACAGGCATGAGAATGTATACCAGATGGTATCGAATATAATTTTATTGTAAAAGAGAAAACGTCTATTATTGTTCTCTTTCTTGATATTGGTTGGAAACAACAGTTTTTTTTTTTTGGGGGGGGGGCGGGAGGAGGGGCGGGTCAATATACTATCATAATACTATCATGTCAATGCACTATTAGTGTTTTTGTATCAAAGTAACAGTATATGCCTATCAACCTTGAGTATCCAATCGATAATCATATTCCAGATCAAGAGTGAATTCCGTTTAGGTGATTATCAGAAACTCTAGTAGTAAGAGTTTCCTTTTCTGGTGCATGAAAATAGCCTGTCCTGCTCCTTTATTATAGACCTAACAGAATGACTTGTTTCGGATGAAATGGTGATCGGCAATTTCAAACTAACTGAATGAAGCAAACAATCGAACCAATCCTAACCATAGCAAAAATACATTGTTTATAGAGGAACTTTTTTTAATGTAACTTTGTATATAGGTTTAAATTTTGAAACATGGAAGTATGACTTGACACACGTACACACGCACACAAAATAATATACACATTCACAGATATTTCTCATTTACGGAATCGACTTTTAGGTCTACACAATTTAAAGCAAATATTCTTCAAACATTTTACATTTCATATACATATTCGTATTTCTTTTAACTCTTTTCCAATTCGCATTAATATACATGACATACATATATTCGGCGATGATGTCGTATGATATTAAATGGCATTATTATCAACAACAAAAAAATCATTTTAATAAGAGGTATAGGGGTTGAAGTATGGAGGGCTGATAGAACAAAATGCATCATTGCTTTTCGAGGCGTTATCCCATGAAATTTGATGAGAAACAACAACACAGGGAAACTAATCATTTTGTCGTTGATGTTGTTTTATCTTTCAGTTATCTGATGCTATAATAGATTAGAAGCATACGGGACTTACCAGACCCTTCATCTTCACTACCCAGTACCTGACTTGGAAGTCTCCTTCACTGCAATGCGTTTCATCGACGACAGAGACCTAAGGCAGTGGGTCCAGGAGAACCTGCAACGAAAGCTGGTCCAACAGGTGGGTCCATAGTAGCACAGTGGTTTTAAAGCCACACTGTACTATTTAATTGCGCCCTCTATATAGCAAACAATGCCTAATCGGTGCCTGTTGGTCCCCCGTGATCCCCTTTTTCTTAACTTAAATGAGAGCTGATTTGATGAGATAACTACCTGCCAGTGACCTTGCAGGGAGGTCTTATCCCTCCATGCCAAACTAGTGCAGAGGGGTTTAAAGCCCCACTGCGCTACTTGTATCTACTTGCTCCCTCTATACATGTATATAAAACAATGCCTAATCGGTGCCCGTTGGTCCCCCATGATCCCCTTTTCTTATTGTAATTGAGAGCTGTCGGAGTTGGCTGGAGTTGATGAGATAAACACCCGTCAGTGACCACGCTGGGAGGTCTAATCCCTCCTGGCCACACTAATGCAGATTTAAAGGGTACATATACATGCAAGTTTTAATTGAATGGATGAGGTGAACCATGTTTTGAGCAACCGACACGGAACAAATCTTTCCCTCTTCATTTACTGCAGTTTTTAAATATAAATATGTGTCTGCGTATACACGTTGACTAATATCTGTACCTATTTTAATATCAGTTTTGAGGGGAATATGTTACGTTATACAGTTCAACATCAAATTAATTGTTCATTCAATATTTTCATTTCGTTTGTTCATTGGAACAGGCACACGAGCTTGCAGTGCAGACAGGGTGCGAAGTGCTTGTTCGGTTTCAAGATGGACGGGAGTCTCCACATTGCAAGTACTACGTCACAGACAGGATGAAGCATGACTACGTGAATTACGGCGTCCGGGCTGACCCTGGTGACCTGCCGATGTCAGGTGAATCAGGATTGCCCAAGAAGTATGTCCACGACTTCACATGCCAGGTGGCTTGTGAACCCACTGGCCCTATCCCCTACGCACCGGAGCACACCGAAACACACGAGGCTGAAATCATTCGGGTACAACAGCATCCCAATATATCTGTGCAAGGTGTCCATTGTAGTGAGGAGTGGCAAAGGCTGTACAGGGAGAGATTGTGGACCCAGCAGACTTCGACGTCATCCACGTCAAAATTAGAAGCAGCCATCCACTCAGAGGTTCAAAGGCGATCGCCAGGCGCCAATGGACAACGACCGTATGTATATCCAGCAAGTGCGTTGATTCAGTCGGATGCGTCCGTACCTACTGCGACGGAGAGCCACATCGTGTCACATCTAGATGACAACGATGCTGCTCTACGAAATCTGAAGCAGTTACACCTCAAAAGACTGATGAGGCGTGAGATAGAACAAGAGGCACGTACAAACGAATTTCCTGGGCAGTCAAAGCCAGCGAATGACCATGAATGTTTTCGGGTTCTCTCCTATCTAGAAGATAACGCTGAACAACGCGAGGAATTGGTATATGTATCTCAGCAAGAGAACCCCCTCTTGCACCACAGCCACCGCCACCGCCACCTCCACCACCACCAGAGCCATGGCCACCACAACCACAACAAGAACTCCAAACACAGGATGTCAGGACGAATGGTCTCGGCTTTGATCCCAAAACGTTACCTGTTGGAAGTACACAGCAACGTTACCTATGTCGCATTTGCGAACGCACGTTTTGTGATATCTACAACTTGGTCTCTCACGCGAAAATGTTTCATTCAAGATTATCCGAATTGATTTTCGCCTGCAACTCATGCAATTCATCGTTTGAGGACGCTAGGTCTCTCCATGCTCACCTGCAGACGCACGGTAATATGGGGTTCTTTGCTGGAGCTGCTTGCCAGTTAAGGAGTCAGAGCAAAGATCGACAGAATGTCGTACAACAACGTCGATTCCCATGTCCAGACTGCGGGAAAATATTCTCAAGGTTTGGCTTCATGCAAAGTCACATTGAGCGTGTTCATGGTGGCACCAGGATCGCGGCGTCAATGGACACCACTGCCCTCTCCAAGGATACCTCTTTTCTTTCTAAAGATTCCATGGTATCTCCTAAAGGACATAATGGAGGCAACCCAGTTGAAGATATCATTGTAGTCAGAAATTCATCAGAAAATTTGTATCGTTGTATGGATTGTGAGGAGAGTTTTGACAGAGCCGAAATCCTCCAGCAACATATCAAGGAGTCCCATCTCATTCTGAAGACCAGTTCAGCACCCCCTTCGTTTACAGAAGATGATGAGCCTCCAGTTCAGCGGATGAGGTCCAAGTCAGAGGATGTAACATTCGTTGGAAAAGAGATCTACACATGTCAAGAATGTGGCAAACAGTTCCCTAGAGGAAAGCTGCTGCAGAACCATGTCAACAAATACCACATTTCAGCCGACCCCGCCGCGGTGGCAAGCCACCGAGAGGAACAGCACGAAATCGATCGGGCAGCCTTCGTCCAACCCGAACAGCAGTACAACAATAATGTGGCGAATTCCTCAGTTTCCGTCGTAAAGAAAGAACCCAATCAAGAAATACTAGATTTGAGCACCGGGAACTCGACCAGGAACTCCAGCCTGACTTTGTCAGATGATTCTAGCGATATGCCACCAGACTACCCCGTTAGCAGTCCTGACACACCGGGGAACGAGGCCAAACAGATGGAGGACCAAGAAATGGCTCATGAAAATGATGAAGGGTTTCGACGAAGGCGATTCGCTTGTGATGTCTGTGGAAAGACCTACAAGTACGGCTTCCATATGAAAGAACATCGATTGACCCATGCGGCGGTGTGTCCGTTCGTTTGTCGCATCTGCGGCATGGGTTTCTTTAGACAGAGACAGCTGAGGGACCATGAACTGAGACATACAGGAGCTTATCCGTGTCGCTGTGATATCTGTGGCAAAGGGTTCCCTCGGACATCAGAACTAAAGAGACATTTAGCGTTCCGGCATAACAGTCATCTCGATATATTTGTTAGACGAAAGTCAACGCCTTCACGGAATGGGGAACAAACATAGTGTATAAACTGTAATAGTTCGTATAATAGTGAAATACTTGGCAGTGTAAGAGCTTTACCTACATCGTGGTCATTATTTGGCGCGTTTGTATAGAATGTAAAAATGAGCTGGCCAAGCCGGAGAGGTACACAAAACCCTGGTTGTTATGATATTTATCTCATGTACGAGTACATATTCATTGTTTAATTTTATATAGTTGTTGCCGTCAAAATCTTTACGTTGTTCAATAGGATTAGAAAGAGTATCATGTTTCTTGTTGGTTGTGTACAATGAAATAATGCACTCCTAAACAATTCTGTTTCCTTTTTGCCTTTACATGTTTCGTTTAGTGACAGTTTTTTTTTTGGGTGGTAGTATTCTTAGCTGGCTTAACTTGGTCGCTTTTCGAGAGTAAATGAACCACTTGTATTTTTATTAGTTGTTACGCATTAGGCAAGATAGATGAGTTGTTTAATCATGCTGCAAATAAATTGTAAAGTACAATGTATTATGATATCTTTCTAAGCCACCCTGCCAGAGGGAGTAGATGAATTCGATTAAAGGCCCACTACACTACTTGTAGCTACTTGCGCCCTCTATATAACAAACCATGCCTAATCGGTGACCATTGGTCCCCCATGATCCTCTTTTTCTTATGTTAACTGAGAGCTGAGTTGATGAGATAACCACCTGTCCAGTGACCTTGCAGGGCAGTCTAATCCCTCCTGTAAACTATGGCAGATACGCTTTAAAGGAAAATCAAACCTTAATCGATCTACCCTTAACAGAAAGCATAACAATCAGAGAAGCAGATAGGTGAAGGTTTGAACGAAATAGGACCCCAAAAAGAGAAAACAATGAATTTTAAAATCACTATACAGTGCGTCCCAGAAAAAACGAAACCGAGAATTATCGATGTTTTATTCGAACTTGTTCACAATTATTATTAATAAATGACACATATTTGTAAAGCTTAGAGCCTCCTCTTTCATTTGATGCAACTCATACGATGCATATTTCACGCATGAGTGATTGAAAGCAATTTGAAGGAAGGAAACCAAAAAGTCATTTGGCGGGCGGTATCTGAATTTCGTAGGAAAATTCACATTTCTAAAAAGTTCAGTTTCTGCCCTTTCATATGACACCTCAATCAGGAAAAATGAGCAAGGAATGACAAAGTTCTTTTTGTTTCAAGTAGTGCTTGCATTTCCATAATTTTATCAAACGGATTCGTTTTCACTGGCTGCCTGCATGCAGTAGCAACAAACGGAATTGACAAAAGACTTAACTCCGTTTCGTTGACAATCAACCGTATACGAAAGACTTCATTTCTTCGTTTTTTTCTGGGACGCACTGTACATACGGGAAATTCAAATTGGCTGAATGTGTCAATGTGACGAAGCGCCGGATTTGTTTCCAACACACAAAATGACTAAAAATGTCCCTTTTTTCATAATGTATGACTCAAGACGATCTTTTCTTTTTAGGGAGAAGGCGTTTAGGAGAAAAACATTACAATTCATGATATGTTTGTACAAGACAGAAAAGTTGTCTGTGAATATGTCACAATCCAGTGACCAAATCCAGTGGCCAAATTACCAATTCTATTCGCATGGCGGCGATCTCATATTTCAAACACTCGTAACCGTCTTAATATTGATCCGATTTATTTCAATTCGTCGCCTTTCTGTTTCTCTTTTCCCGCTCTCATACATACGAATTATTATTGGGGTTGGATTGCCCTTTAATAATGCAGTATACTCGGGATTCGGGCTGGTATATTCGACTGGAATGGAATGCCGGATTTTAGCTTGAATAAAGGAGATGGTGCACATAGGAAAGCCAGAATCCGAAGACAGGGGCAATAGTTCATCTTTAAATCGCTAAGAGTTCATCGCTAAGAGACAACACTTTCTTTTTAAATCGCTTTGAGACATAATAAATGTAAATGCGCCATTATAAGCCAGAGATATAAATATTATCATATATTTATTTGTCAGAGTATCATGGAACTGGTTTTTATGTCAATGATGTATGACAACTTTCCCTGCCAAAGAGATACAAACTGCTTTGTTCAATTCAGGGCGTGTTTATATTATGAAGTTTGTCAATGATTATATATTAGATCATATTTAGATTATATCTTTCGATATCATAAGCAAAGGCAGGGGCTTTTAAATAGATATGTATATGTGAAATGTTATTTGCTGTTTTATGAATAAGAGCTGTACAGGTATAATACTTATATTAAAGAAATTAAAATGCCGGTGATAATTGCTGTCAAAGATTTAATGATTGATATGTGTATGGTGATATGGTTGTTACTATGGTTATGGTTGATTTGTTTGTATTATTAAAAAAGCAGAAGACTATATTTCTTTATCGTGTTTATATTTTATATATATCTATTGTCTTTGTACCGTATCACATCTGATATCTGCAATAGATAGGTTTACTAATATATTTTGTTTAATTGCATAATTTGTTAACAAAAGTGACAACCTGAAAGCTTTCCCGACGTAGCAACACGCACTGTTTGCAGAATGAGTTCCAAGTATTGTAGTTCATTCATTAATTTCTGGAAAAGTGGAATAGAGCATCAATATAGATGCCCAGGAAAGAAATATCCATACATTTGAATATGTAAGTTAATTGGTCTACTGTACCTTGGCAAAATACTTAAAGAGAGGGTTAAGACGAAGAATTATTTTTTGTACGTCGTCAATAAGCTTAATTATATATGTGTTCATCGTGAGTGGCGTAGCGTGGGCTCAGTCATGGAGGGGAGGAGGGCACCAGTCTTTAGTCTACTAGATCAGCGTTTTTTTATAGTTTTTTTTTAACTTTCTTTTAGCCACGGCACACTTCTATGAGTTTAAAAAGTTTAGCGTTAGCCCAAACAAATTTTTATCAAAGAGGATTTGTTTTTCATCTCTCGTACACATTTTTGCTTGGGGGCTGTGAGGGCCTCTTGCCTGAAAATATACTATAATAAAAGGAAATATTGCGAGCGAGCGAAAAAGGGGCACTTCTTATTAGTGCAAACATGTTTTTTAATCATCAATATACATTAGATAAAATGTTAAATTATATGTCGTTGACAATAAGCATCGTTAAGTTATTTATTTGTCGATAATTGAAGCGGGCGAGGGGGGGGGGGGGGAAGAAATCTTAATGTGGTATGAATTTCATTTCTAAATACAAATAGAATAAATAAGGTTATATCCGAGCGCCATGCTGCCCGAACCATGCCGATATTCGGGTAGCGAGGTGCCTGAATATTTTAACATCATCATAATGGGGATATTCATGAACCTAGCTGCCTTAAACTATTATATTATACCCCTTTTTCTAAATTTTGCAAAGAAACGCCGTGAGCGAGGAAAAGACACTTTATTATCTCTGAAATGTTATTTCCTCATCAATACTAAAACGATATATATTTTGCCATCTTGCGGTATCTGATGCCTTGTTTCCATGAAGTTGACGATATTAGAAAATTTATTTTTAATGTAACTAAAATACACTCGCGGCGCCCAGGTAGAAACGTTATACTAGATGATCAAAATTGAGGGGGCAGATTTACAAGGCCTGGAGGTAATGTACCCTTTGCCCCTTTCAAGTGGGAAAATTTTTGCATTTTAAAGTGACGCGGACAAACATGCATACTCTAGTCTGTCTCTTTTCTCGTATGTCTTCTATCTTTCACCTACTTCTCCATTTCTTTTAATTATTTACTTTACACTATGAAGGGCGCAGATCGGATCACCCCAAAGCATTTTCGATAAACGTTTAATAATAATAATGAAAACGATGCTTATAAAGCGGTTTCAACCGAAGTCTTTAAGTGCTAATACACATTTAAAACAGTTTTCATTTGAGACTGATCATGTTGTTCCCACATTACTGATTGACGTAATATCTGAAAAGTGTTTTCGAGCAATCTATCTATTCTAATCTATTTTTTAAAAATATTATCTCACTTTTTTCCCCTTTTCCTTCAACTCTCTCCTCGCTCTCACCTTTTTTGTTTTCCATCCCATTGGGGGCACAAGCCCCCCCCCCTCTTCGTAGCTACTCCACTGTTTATCGTTGTGAAGAACTTAACATTTTAACCACAATTCAAAAAAGTCTATCAAGCTGATTCCGGATGTTTTAGGAAATATGGTTAATTGTAAAAAGAGTAATTAATGAAAACACGATGAGGACAGTCGGAGGGGACAAAAAAACTTTTGTCATTACCCGCTTTACAATGTTGTGCTGTAGGGGGCGCTAGACATATCTTACACACCTCGGCTATTGACTTGGTCTTCGCCAATAATCACAGTGGTTATGTTATTTGTAGATTGTTATACTTTGGCGCCACCTTTTGGCGAATGCTTGTTAATTATTTGTTATTAATTATTCAGCTCTGGCTCCATTTTGGGTAGCGCCCTATACCACATAAGGTTACATTATTTTTATGATATTTGAAAGTGCATAGGTTTATTTGCATAAATTATGAATACGCATCATGAATATAAAATCTAGAAATATACAACGAACTAGAATCATTACAAAACTTGTCAGACTCCACTTTTTAAATGCTAATTGAAACCCATTATTCATATGAAACTTCTTTTCTAACACAAAATAATTATTTTGATGTAATTAATAATGAATAATAATGATAATTTATGCAAATTTGATGCGATTTTCAAATATTTATTTTCTTTTGTATTATATTGTGTTTTTTTCTTATTATATCTATTGTTTTATTTCTAATGAATTCTTTTGTTCTGGAATACATCAAGTTACTTTGAGAAACATATAAAAGCAATTTGATATCAATTCATAGTATTCATATTTATGCTTGAACATGAATATATGCAATTATAGCATATTTTTGATGACATGCGCATACTAATTGTTATGTAACACCTTACAGGTATATCCGATTTCGACGAAAATTGTATCAAAATCTGCGTAAGACTTGAGGGAAAAAAAGTCATGAAACGACAATTCGAAATTCTAAGCGGTTGCGGCACAATCTCCGAAATGTCGAGGGGGACCTCCCAGCCCCCCCCCCCCTCCCCAGTACAGTAAGGTTTAAATGAAGAGCTTCAAAATTAACTCAGACAGACATCTCGTCTCCTTAATTGCGAATCAGGTTTGGGCATAATTGTTTAGCTAATACACCTCATTATGTTATACACCTTATTAAGCTTCTGCTGAACTTTGGAACAAATTTCCTTTAAATGGCAAAACCTGTCAGACTGACTGTTTAACCAATTCAAAACTTGTCTTAAGACACATTTATTTAAAATTGCTTTTTATGATTACCACACCCCCCCCCCCCCCACACTCCGTGAACGGAGGGATACCATGCGTGTTCCCAAACTCTCCGGCTCGTAACAAAAGAAAAGGGTCTACCAGTGTTGACTTTACACACCGGACTTTTGCTGAAAAAAAGGGGGGTTGCTGAAAAAGGCTCGTATAACAAAAGAAAAAGGGCGACCCGTATTGACTTAAAACACCGGACTTTTGCTGGAAAAGGGCGGGGGGGGGGGGTGGCGCTGGGAACACGCATATGCGTACCCTAAATAACACTGAGTGGGGGCCGGGATGA